GTTCCATGGTCGACAAGGAATAATAATTGAATCTTGTTTCATAAAAAGCAGTTTTGACAATAATATGAATATTTCCTTTGGATTATATAAATTAGATCCATTTATAATTAATAATATTTGGAAGAATTTTAATAATACACTGACAAATAATTTTTAAATTTTCTTGGTAGAATAGTTTGTGGGTGAGTTGTGCAAGAAGAACCTAATCCAAGTGGGTCGGACGCGCGTAAGTGTTATAACCGTTGTTGGATCTTGATAGTGAGGTGACTGGCCCAGCCCCCTTATATAGCTTTCTTGGATGCTTTACTTTCATAGTTTTCCTTATAATGTGAGTAGTCGACGAAAGCGCTTGGAATTTCTCTATTTTTTCAGAGTTGTTGTTTTGCATATATATATAATATATAATCTATATTATATAGGAATATATATATATATATAATATATATATATATATATATATATATAGATATATATATATATATTTATTATTATCACACTGGCCGAGTCCCACCAAGGCAGGTGCCCGAAAAAGAAAAACTTTCACCATCATTCACTCCATCACTGTATTGCCAAAGGGTGCTTTTACACTACAGTTTTTAAAACTGCAACATTAACACCCCTCCTTCGAGTTCAGGCACTGGTACTTTCATCTCCAGACTCAGTCCGTCCCCTGCCGGTTTCCCTGAATCCCTTCATAAATGGTTACTTCTCACATATAGTCCAACAGCACTCAAGTATTAAAACCATTTGTCTCCATTCACTGCTATCAAACAGACGCTCACGCATGCCTGCTGAAGTCCAAGCCCCTCCCACACAAAATCTCCTTTTTTAAACCCCCTCCACCAACCTTTTCCTAGCCCGACCCCTACCCCCGCCTTCCTTCACTACAGACTGATTACACTCCCTTGAAGTCAGTCTTTGTTTCGCTCCATCCTCTCTACATGTCCGAACCACCTTCAACAACCCTTCCTCAGCCCTCCTGGACAACATTTTGGTAATCCCGCACCTCCGCCTAACTTCCAACTACGAATTCTCTGCATTATATTCACACCACACATTGCCCTCCAACGATGAAAACTGCCACTGCCTCCAGCCTTCTCTCATCGCTGCAACAATCATCACCCATTGCTTCACACCATATAAGAGCGTTGGTAAAACTATACTTTCATACATTCCCCTCTTGCCTCCAAGGACTAAAGTTCTTTGTCCGCACAGACTCCTAAGTGCTACGACTCACCCGTTTTCAACTCATCAATTCTATGATTCACCTCATCTCAATAGACCCATCCCACCGCTGACATGTCCTACACAGATTCTTCTCCAAATATCCGAATACATTCACCTCCCTCCATACTCATCTCCCTCCAATCTGATACTCCAATCTTTCATCACCTAATATTTTTTGTTATCCTCATAACCATACTACTCTTTCCCCTTGGGGGGTAAAATTCACTTTTAATTTTCTTCTTTTGCACACCCTACCAAATTCTCACCAATCTCTGCAACATCTCTCAGAATCTCCGAAGAGCACAGTTGTCATCTGCAAAAGCAACTTTGGACAACTCCCACATAGTATGATTCTATATCTTTTAACTCACGCCTCTTGCCAAACCCTCGCATATACTTCTCTTACTACCCCAGATCTATAAATAAATTAAACAAACATCGGTGACATCACACACCTTGTCTAAGGCCTCCTTTTGCTGGGAAATAAATTTTCCCATCTTTCCCACATACGCTAACTTGAGCCTCACTAATCCTCCGTGAAAAACTCTTCACTGCGTTCAGTAACCAACCTCCTCACCATACTCCAGCAACATCTGCCACATTGCCCCTCTATTCCACCTGTCATAGAATGCCTTTTTCCCAAATCCATAAAATGCCACAAAGACCTTCTTTAGCCTTATCTAAATACTGTTCACTTATATGTTGTTCACTGTAAACACCTGGTCCACACACCCCCTACCTTTCCTAAAGCCTCCTTGGTGTCATCTGCTATCCTATTCTCCTCTTACTCTTAATTCTATCAATAATAACTCTATCCATACACTTTAACCGTATACTCCAACAACTTTTCCCCCTATAATTTTTGCACTCTCTTTTATCGCCCTTTGGCCTTGTATACAAAGGAACTATGCATGCTCTCCTGCCAATCCCTAGGTACCTTTACCCTCTTCCATACATTTATTAAATATTGCAAAAACCCTCCAAAACTTATCCCCACCTGCCTTAACATTTCTGTCTTCATCCTATCAATCCCGCTGCTTAACCCCCCTCATTTTACCTACTGCCTCACGACTTCCCCCAACACTCACAACTGGCTCTTCCTCACTCGCACATGAAGTTATTCCTCCTTGCACTATACACGAAATCACAGCTTACCTATCTTCATCAATCATTTACCAATTTTACTCAAAATAAATTCCCTCCATCTTCCAATACCTCTAACTCTCCATGGTTAATACTCTCCACTCCTATTTTTAACTGAAAATCCATTCTTAACTTTATATATAATATATATATATATATATATATATATTATATATATATATATATATATATCATAAATATATATATATATATATATATTTATTACATAATTATAAAGAAAAATATGAAGATATTTAAATATTACTCACCAATTTTATGCTCTTGCTCATATATCTTATTGCCTCCCTCTCAGTAGGCAACTAATATTGTCAATAAATAGTTACATTATGTATAGTGAAAATTAATACAGTGGGAGGCGTACATTACAGTGCCACTTCTTCATTCACACCATGCCCGGCCTCGACTTTTTTATTATCAGTCGCAGTCGACAGTTAATTATTATTATCAGCAGCAGTCTGACAGTTAATTATTATTATCAGCACCACTCTGACAGTTAATTATTATTATCAGCACCACTCTGACAGTTAATTATTATTATCAGCACCACTCTGACAGTAATTATTATATCAGCACCACTCTGACAGTTAATTATTATTATCAGCACAACTCTGAACAGTTAATTATTATTATCAGCAAACCCAGTCTGACAGTTAATTATTATATCAGCAACCAGCGCGACATTAATTAATTATTATCAGCAGCACTCTGACATTAATTATTATTATCAGCCCACACTGGACAGTTAATTATTATTATCACAGTAGTCCTGACAGTTAATTATGATTATCAGCACCACTCAGACAGGTTAATTATTATTATCAGCACCAGTGTGACCAGTTAATTATTATTATCAGCAGCATC